ACACATACACACATATAGACATGCTATATACATATAGATGTATATATCTACACCCATACATATAAATACGCGTAAATGTTAATCACTGTCCATCTTGAATACATGGCGGAAAGAGGAAGCTTGAGAGTTCACAAAGTTGATGCTGCATGGAACAAAACTGTGACCAAATCTCGATGTTCTGCTTTGGATACCACGAAGGTAACAAGGAAAACAGGTCGTGAAGAGAATGTATAGCGTCCCAGACAATACTGAGGACCCTCCTCAAGCATCGCTTATATGCCATGTCCTGGATAGAAGGGAGAGAACTGCCAATGATGTTTTCTGCCATTCTCACCACTTTCGGCACCGCCTTCCTGTCTGAAGCAGGAATGCTTCCAAACCAGATTGTAAGTGTGAGAACTGGTTGTAAGGCCCTTTTTTCAGTGCTATATTAATTTTAGTGGCTAAACAAATGGTTGCAAGTTGAAGACTTTCTATATTCTTGCATCTGCTCAAGATGTTTATGGGATCCAATGATGGTGCGTATCACATACGAGCTGTGGTGGCGCAATGGTCAGAGTGCAGTACTGCAAGCTACTTCTGCAACTGACATATTAGGTGTGTGTGCACAAATCCAGATGACCACCAGATAACATCATGGAGATATAGGGAGCTCTTGTTATTTTCTGGTATTTAGGGATTGCCCAGTTTGCAACTGAGATAAGGTATATCACAACAGAACATGAGAGAGTCCTAGAATTTGGGTATATGTGCATCAGCATGGAAGCCCTCAGGCCTCCACTATTAAAACCTGAATTAACCTTTAATTCCAATTTTTCAGCAGTGCACTAAATATTTGGAACACAGGAGAGGGGTGCATATGCTGCTCTTCTAATTTCAGTGAAGTATTTCATAGACTTATGCTTATGTAACAAGCAGGCACATCTGTGCACACAGAAGCTGGATTTATATACCAACTGAACTATAAGTTTGTTTGCTTTCAGCTTTAAGTTGCTTTGTGTTTTTGTCATGAATGTTCCAAATTCTATTACTGGGTTTACCATCAATGTGTTATTGTAATTTATTTTATTTTTGCTGTAGGTTGCCCTGAGTTTGAATGAGCGTTTTGATTTGCAATCAGAGTTTATACATAAGCATTGTAGTTAACCGTGACTGAAACATGAGGTACAAATCAGATTCTCCTTAGCATTATTATTTATTAAAAATTAAAAATTAAAAGAGAATATATATATGATTAAAAATAGAGAAAATAGAATTTGAGGGCGAAAGAAGACACTGTTTATAGAAACAAGAATAGAAATATTAAGATTTGATTAAAAAATATGGAAAAAGAACACTTTGGCAGAAATTGTAACTAAGTAAAATATATTTGGATATGACAAGTTGTATATGATATGATATGATACGGTCAATATTCTGTTTCATAAAATATGTGGGGGGGTGTTAGGGGGAAAAAAACTAATAAAACTTGATTCCAAAAAAAAGCATAGAAAGCACTCTCAGTATGTAGAGTTCATGTCACTTTGCATGGGGAGAGAGGAAAAATTGCTTTTTTAGGAAATTGTAGACGATGACCAGGCTGAGCCCGAGGGAGGGGTCAAATGCGTCATCAGTCATGAGTCCCTGCATGCCCACAAGAGATCTAAATCCATCCCACCTTGAATTCCTTTGACTCTTATCTACCACCAAATTGTTTAGAGTATTACTAGTTCAGATTCTTTTTCTTAATCTTGCAATAAACCTTTATACCTATTTGAACTGTCTAGAATAGATCTGCTGATTTCCCTGGTGCTTGTCAGAAATGTCCTGGCCTAAAAACCTGTGCATTGTATCTAAGAAAGGCAAAACTGTTTTTAGGGGTTAGGAATTCTGGTAATCATCTGTTTAAAAATCTAACCAACTAATTAATTTTCAATGAAATTTAATATACCTCAAGACAAGTTCGACCTGCCATTTTGTGATGCTGAATACTGGATAAGTGAACAATATGCAAAAGATTCTTAGCAATTTCAAGGGCATCTAAAACATCTAAAGACATTTTTAATAAGTCTTTAGATGCTTTAGATGCCCTTGACTTATTTTTAATAAGTCAAGGACCGATTCTGAAAGTGCTATTCTTTTTAAATTTCGTAAGACTATTCAGCCACTTCCAAGAGTTCTTTACAACTTAAAAAATAACTGAAGATCCATGGTTTATAGCTTATCAACATTTAGTGAATAATACAAATGCCTTCTTTCACCCCCCCACAACTTATTTGTTCCCTGAACTAATAGAAGGAAGTTCATCATGGAACCAAATTGATGTACTTCTTTGTTGAGATTCTGTACACCAAAATACATTGCAGAGCTTGAATTTGTATGCCCCTATATGCAAACAAGCCCATTGGTCTTAAGCAACATCTTTTAAATGCAGTTGAACTACTTGAGTCATAAAGTGAACTCATCTGACATTAATCTGAAGTGCAGCAGGTTTTCTACTACTGTTCTCTGCCCACCTCTGTAAACTGTCTGCGTCCCTGGGCCAAGGTGAATGGGAGGATTGCAAATTCCAGGCTGCCAGTCCCTCCACAGATTCTTCATCTACCATACACAGCCCACACTACCCTCAATCTGTTTTAAAGCCTAAAAACACAAGGGTTGTAAAAGGCTGTGAGTGCATGTTCCTGCACATGATATGCACATTGCGGGAGAGACAGGAAATGGACTGGTTTTAATTGTAAAATGCTATTTTCACATCCTTGTTATAGTTGTGTAATATGTTCAAGGAAATTGGTCCGACTGTGGTAAAAAACAAAAGAGCGAGAGAGCCCGTGGCCCTTTTTGGAGGTACGCCGTGTGTTCAATAGCTTGCTGTTCATAGGCATTAAGGAACAAGGATCACAAATAGTTGGGAAGGCACATTGGCCTCGAAGTCCCAAACTACTGTACAATGTAAGGAATGAACCTTCTTTCTTCGGGAGATGCCCGCCCACACGTTATTCTTACCTTTTATTTGGCCCCACCCCCAATCTATTCACTGCCTCCCGAGTCCCAGCTGATTGACTAGAAGGAAAAAAACTGTTTAAACTCTTGCTGCCCTACAGCTGATCAGTGTTAAAAGGCAGTGTGATGGTAGACCAGTGGGCTCGAAAAACAAATGGGTAGACTGGTGCCTCCAAAAACAAATGGGTAGACCGGTGCCTCCAAGAACAAATAGGTAGACTGGTACAGCTCTGCAAGCAGTTAAAAGCCTGGTAGACCAGTACCTCTGCTAAATCCTAAAGAATTGTCACATGACCATCAAGCCATTGGCAGGCAGCTTTTGTGTAGCTGTCCCATAATATGATGCTCCAAAGTACCTGGATGTGATGCAGGGAAGAAAACATCATTTTAATCATAGCAGTGATGCAGGAATGCAGTATTTTTTTTTCATCACATTTTATTGGTCACTAGAATTTACAGATTTGTTGCAATATGCAGGATGTATGGAATTAAAGAACCTAATTTTATTTTAGAAAGCTCTCATTCTGTCAAGCCTTTGACCTCAAGTAAAAGAGGCAAATTCCAGCAGAAGGAAAAGCTCAAAAAGGATCAAGCATGTGCCACCAATGCCCTCAATCCTACCATTATGGAAAGTCTACACAGAGGGGAACCTCTAGCATTGCTCAGATTAAGAGATGTGCTGTTCCTCCAGAGCACTGGTGGCGCAGTGGTTAGAATACAGTACTGCAGGGCTAACTCGCTGCTCACTCCAGGAGTTCGATTCTGACCGGCTCAAGGTTGACTCAGCCTTCCATCCTTCCGAGGTTGGTAAAATGAGGACCAAGATTGTTGGGGGCAATACACTGATTCTGTAAACCGCTTACAAAGAGCCGTAAAGCTGTATGAAGCTGTATATAAATCTAAGTGCTATTGCTTTTGCTATTCTACTGCGCGCACAGTGGTGGCAATGGCTGGTTCTCCACATCAGTGTTTCTAAGGTCATGGGCAGCACACCCTTGCATGCACATGTGCATGTGCACCTTCTGTTCTTGACGGTGGATTTCAGAAGCAGCTTCTGAACACTGCCATTCCAACAGAGCCGATTGCTTCAAGGCAAAAGAGACCCTGGGCATGCGCAAGCTCTCCGTCTCACCTAAAGTCTTTTTTGGATCCCAGCCAGCACATGCTTTTCATAGCAGACCCAAAGGCTGAGCAGTACCTCAAGGGTGGAGGGGAGCCATTGCTTTCCCTGCCTTCCAGATGTTCTCCATCAGCCTTTTCCTCCCGTCTTCCAGGCCTTCTCCCTCTGGTCCTCGGAAAGGGTTTTTTCCCCCCCTTCTCGATAGGTCTCAGAAACTCTTCCTGTCATCATTACCCTGGCTGGAAGTCAGTGGTGTCTCCCCCTTTCTCTCCCTCCCTCCTTCCCCTGCACCAAACATGCAGTACATTCCTTTATGCAGGTTTCCATAGAGTTAAACCATAGAGTTCCTATTTTTTTTTCCCCCTTAAAGAGGTCAGCAAAAAGTCGTACAATAGGGGTCTCATGTTCATGAACTGTGAAGGAATTTTTAAAAAATTTCCCATGGTGGGGTTGGAGTGCAGCAAAAAAGAAACTTGGGGGGGGGGGGAAAAAAAAAGCGGGGGGGGGGCTTGGGGGGGGTGGGGGTGTCGTTTGTAAAGACACGTTGTCGTCCTGATCCCCGGTTAAAACTTGTTATTTCTCCTCCTCTCCCTCCACGATTCTTTTATTTCTATCAAAGTTATTTTTTTCCCTCCAGCTTTAATTGCTTCAATCCTACTAAGCTGCCCCTTTTAAAATGAAGGATTGTATATATTTCCTTGGCATCGGGAAATCCCTCGGACTGTAGGTTCATATTATCTAGACAAGCACTCTTTCAGAAGTAAATGCCATTCTTGCATAGGGAAGTACTTTAGGCCTAAAGGGGTTAAGAAGGCCTCCTTCCATTCAGAAACATGCAGGGGTCCCACCGTAGCTGGTCCAGCCTTTAAAAATCTTTCCAGCTTTTTTTTTCTTTCTTTCTTTCTCCCCTCTCCTTGTAACAAATCTGTACGACTGCCACCAGGACATAAGAAGCGTGTGCCTGTCACAGAAATAGAGTTTACTTTTTCCAAGTTGTTATAGAGCAGCAGGGTATAAATACAGCTAACTCTGACTTGGACTAAGAGCCTTTCGCTTAAAATAAGGGGGCGACTTCCCAAGACTTGGAAGCCAACAAGGTCCAGATCAGATTGCACCAGGGAACAAGGTAGAAAGGACACCGAGAAAACAGGTGTAGTTGCTTCCTTTGTTTCAGCTCTTCTTCTTCTTTTTTTAAAGTCAAGCACAGCCACACCCAGACCCGAGTCAATTGTCAGTATTTTCTCCGGAGCTAACCCAAGATGTCCTTTTTCAAACTCTTCATGCGATGGATATGGATATGGATGTTGTCCTGGGACCGCCTTATCTTGTTGCTTCTGCAGCTCCTGCTCAAAAGCTCAGCTTTGCCTCCAATCCGGTATTCTCACGCTGGGATATGTCCAAACGATATGAATCCCAATCTCTGGGTTGACGCACAGAGTACCTGTGGGAGAGAGTGTGACGCCGACCTGGTGAGTGATGCCCTTTTCTCTTCCCTCTTCTTAATGCTGAAAGTCACTTATAAATAGATAGTAACTGCTTGAGGACTGTTTATTGTGGCAAGAAGAGGCCGTGGGTGTTTTTCTGGGAACAGAAGAGGGATAATCAGTGTGTGTGTGGGGGGGAAGGACTTTGGGAGCAAAGTAGAACTTGCTAGGGAGAAAGGAACCAGGATTTGAAACCTGCAAGGACTTCTGATCTTGTAGCTCACACCCGGATCTGATAATCCTGCAGGGACCAAGGCAGGGGTCACTAGCTTGCCGTGGTTACAACCTCATGCATGAATCAGTCCTTTGAATTTCATCTGGAGCAACATCACGAAAGGTCTGCTTTAATCATTGCAAGGGCAGGATGATCAAGGGAGAAAAGCCAGCCAGTGCCATGTGAAGTTCTTAGCATGAGGCTTTGCATGACAGTCTTGCTGTGCTGCAGAGCTTTCCCCCTGTGCCCATCTTAATTGCCTCAATCTTCCAAGATGTCCCCCCCACTCCTCCCCCTCCGTCCATCCCCTGCTGCCTCAGAGCTCTTGAAATAGCCAGCCGATCAGGGCTTACTGCTTTGAGATGTATGGGTTTTCTTCCAGGAGGCAGCTGTGTGCATTGTCTCCCAGGGTAAAGACCTCCTCCGTACCTATTTCAAAATCCACCACAGGTATAAAAAGGACAGCTTGGCATGTGCTGTTGAATGACGATTCCAGAGGCAAATGCACTTGATGAGATGGTAGGTTACATGCTGCTTCTTGAGAAGCTGGCCTTGGTAGCTCAACTTCACCTCTCTATACACCTTTGTGCTCTCTCTGCCTCTTGGACCAGCCCAGAAGAATAGAATTTGCTGTCATTGGCCAATAGCTCTTGGAGAAGACTCCCTGATGCCACTCCTGATGTGTGAGGCTGATTCAGTGCCTATTTCAGTGCCTACAAAGGAGGCACAGCCTACTTGACAGGCAAGTGGCAAACAAATATCAATGCAGGGTGATCAGCTATAACTCAATGCAATATGGCAATGGGTAAGGAATGTGTAAATCCAAAGGGAGTCACTTTATAAATGAATAACCAAAGATGTATTCTACTCAATTAAGAACTATTAATTTATAGCTGAACCAAGAAAACACAGAATTAAGTTGCTTTTCCAGGAAGAAAAGAAGATATATGCAACTTCAGTGCATACTGATGTGGAAAAAAACCAACACCGAATTCTAGAAAGTCTAAATCAAGCATTATAGTGTCGTGTCATATCCCCTGCATTTCTGGAAGCTCTGATTATAAAGGATAATGATAGCAGCAACATCTCATCCCGGTGTTTGAGGTTAAAACTTAATGGAACCCAGGATCAAATTCTCTGCCTATTAATGCAAGTCACCTGTCGGATAAGCTGTATGAGCATTTAAGCAAGTTGGGGTTACTTTTACTTATTTTCTTTTACTTATTTGTTTTGTTTGGTTCTTCTGATGAAAGGCATTGCTTAATTAGAAAGTGCACCAGCTGGACAAGGTAAGAATGAACATGTGACTGTGGTTGGTTGACTTGCCTTGGCTACCCACCTCTTTCCCAACCTGATGCTAGATACACATCACGTATGTCAGCTGGAACCACTTTTTGCAAAACGACTCCCTGATCAGATACCAACAGAAAAGCCACAAAACAGATGGCAGAATGGTGGAATAAGGGAGGAGTGAAGTTATACCCAGCCAGACAAGCTGGGGAGATGCCACAAGATTTCCACAAAGTTAAGCTAGGTGAGAAATGTCCTGAGTAGTTTCGGTACACTGAAATCAAATTTCCTTTTATGAGCAGGGAAGATCTAGATTTAGTTGTGACTCAACAAGCCTTATACCTGCTCAGCTGGGCCTTGATCATTTTGGAACTGATGATCAAGCTGTCAAGCAGTAAATTGAGCCTATTTTTGGATGCACTCCCAAAGGGGTTAGTTGAGATACTGAAAAAAACCAATAAAGCAGTGAATAATACAAAAGATGCATCCAGACATTCACCTGGGTGACCATGCTTATTGCAGGCTCTGCTGTTTTGCTCCTTGCAAATCATACAGTACATCTTTTGATTGATGAACCAGATTTCCATTAACTATAAGCAACACATAAAAATATTCATGGCTATGCAATTTTCTTTTAGTTCATTACTAGCTTTTTTTTTTTTTTTGAGTAATTTGTTGGCCGCAAACTATTTATTAAAACCTAGTGATGTAATAAAGAAACAGAATAAATGCACCATCAAGACGTCTTTAGAAACCTGACTGTCTTTCGGATATGCTGAGAGATAATTTACAGTGGTTCTATGTATAATCCTTGGAATCTCCAGATAGAACCGGAAAAACCATAAAGGTCTTTTGCCAGTTTATGCTATCAGCATTGAATTAAAATAGGCAAGTAGTTTTGGTCTGCAAGAATACAGATAACAATTGAATGGCAGCAAAGAAACACAGGAATTAACTGCTACATTCTAGTCTGCATCCAGATTTCCCAGATGACTTCTAGTATAGGCCACGCCAGGTGGAGCCTATAGTAGAAGATAACTTTTTATGATGTTATGTCTCTCATCATTCCTTCTGGGTATTATGAAAGTTATATTCAATATATTGATGTGTGTGTGTGTGCCAAGTTGCAGAAGGCTGAATTCTGTTCTATCAAAACCAATTCACATTATCCAAGAGTAAAGTATAATTTGGAACCATTGATAAAATGTACCAAAATGAATGCAAGCCCAATTTTCTATAAAAGCACAGAAATGCAGGTTTAAGTATTAGCATATTTCAATACAAGGTGATTTCTAACTTTCTGAATTGTACATGCATTGCTTTTGGTGCATTTTGAAAACTTGATAGAAATAATGTCTTGGTCTCTTCTACAAAGCTGTAATCGAGGCTCTGCAGAGAACATCCAGAACAGTGGTGGGTTTCAAATTTTTTTACTACTGCTTCTGTGGGTGTGGCTTGGTGGGCGTGGCAGGGGAAGGATACTGTAAAATCTCCATTCCCTCCCCACTCCAGGGGAAGGTTACTGCAAAATCCCCATTACCTCCCAATCAGCTGGGACTCAAGAGGCAGAGAATAGATAGGGGCAGGGCCAGTCAGAGGTGGTATTTGCCGGTTCTCTGAACTACTCAAAATTTCCACTACCGGTTCTCCAGAACCGGTCAGAACCTGCTGAAACCCTCCTCTGATCCAGAATAAGAGCTAAGAAGGGGCTTTAAATTGCAAGGTTGGCATATCCTGGCTGATACATTTACAGACTACTAGCACTATTTAGTGTGTCCTTCCAGGGTTTTTTACAAAGCTATTTGAATAAAGTAAAAGTTCAACCTGGCACTTTCTGCATGTGAAACATGTACTCCGGCTTAGCAGATTCCTGAAAATGAGGTCAGATTCTTTTAACATGTAACTGAAGAACTCCAGGACAATTCAGGTATTTGAATACTGTTCGGCATTGTTATTCTGCTTTTTAGTCAGATGTCCACTCACAGTTAAAGCAAAAGGCATGCACACATAGCAAATAGAACGCAGCAATGAGAACTGAAAAGTGTATCACAGATATAGATATGACAGCTGCAAGTATTAGCTTTTGTGATCCAAATCAAAAGAAAGATTAATCTCAGTAAAAAAGGGGAAAGTTGCTCCATGGTTTAGGTCTACAAAGACCTGTGTGATCATCTGCTGATCTTCCGATGGTGGTGGAACATGGAATAGAATCTCCTTCTAACAATTCTAATAATTTCCAATACAGGTAGTCCTTGACTTTCTTTCACAATTGAGCCCAAAATTTCTGTTACTAAGTGAGACATTTGTTAAGTTTTTGACCTTTCTGGCCACCATTGTTAAATGAATCACTGCAGTTCAGTGGTGGGTTGCCCCTGGTTCGGACCAGTTCGCAAGAACTGGTAGTAAAACCAGTGGGAAGCCCTGCTCGCCACCCTGAATGTCGTCATTGGCGATCTGCACATGTGCAGAAGCAAGGCGCATGCGCAATCCCATTGCGAACAGGTAGTGAAGAAAAGTAAAACCCACTCCTGCTGCAGTTGATAAGTTAGTAACCTGGTTGCTAAGTGAATCTGGTTTCCCTATTGACTTTGCTTGTCGGAAGGTCACAAAATATTAATTTTTGTAGGCCAACCACCAATGGACAATATTAATTTTTGTTAAGGTTTCTAAAAAAATGAATTAAAAAGCATTTCAATAAGAACAAAGGACATGTGGGAGCTTGTTGCAAGAGCAATAGATAAAATGATCCAGATTTTATAGGCATGACCTGGAGACCACAGCAACAGTCATAAATATGAGACAGTTGCCAAGCATATGAATTTTGTTCACATGATCATGGGGATGCTGCAAAGATGGTAACACTGAAAAGACGTTACTTATTTCAGTGCCGTTGTAACTTCGAACAGTCACTAAATCAGTTGAAGGGAGTTGAAGTCCACCCATCTGCAAGCTTCCAAGGTTGAGAAACACTGTACTAAATGAACTGTTGTAGGACAAAGTGCCATTGGAATGTTGTAGATGTCATTGGAATGTTGTAGATGTCATTTGGAATGTTGTGGTCTTACATGGAAGGGTTATTATATACTTGAAAATAATTACAAATCTGTATCTTATTTAACAAAAGGAAACCTGCTATCAGCTATCAAGTAATTTTTCAAATATTAATTGAAGTCTCAACTATCAAAACTCCCTGGAAGATAAGAGGGATTCTTACGTTATCGACTAAGTTTTTGGGATACAATGTTTAAAATATGCTATATTGTAAAGGATGCATTTACTTGTACAATGAGGATGATCATATTGCACTGCTGGCTGAAACAAATCATCTGCCTTATAAGGAATACTAATATTCATGGCACCCACAAGATGACAGATTTGGGAGAGAGGGGCAATAGACATCGTATGAGTCATGATATCACTGCACAAATAACACACATGAGGTCATTTGTGGCAAACCACATCATTTGTGTGATTATGTCATTATGCATGTGGCATAACTGTGTCTTTTACCTGATGCCTTTGCCAGTATTTTAGTCTTTTGCTGTACTTTTATTGTGGGGGGAAAGAGAACAAAAAGTGCTTTTTGGGCTTCCTATGAATTGTTTTTCTCAGTTTCTTCGTTCTATAGCCAAGGAAAACAGAACATGTAACACAGTTCTATTTCTATTGCTCAGAAACAAGTCCCACCAATTTCAATGGTGTTTATTCTTTAGTAAGTGTGTAAGGCTGCATATATAAATTTTGGTGAAGTTACTTGACCAATTTATGATACATTCGGAACAATATTCATGCTCATGGTATCTCCCCTTACCTTCCAAGCAGGGGTGGGTTCTACTTACCTTTACTACCGGTTCGCATGCGCAGATCACTTCTGATGATGTCAGGGTCAGTGGGCGGAGCCTCCCGCCAGTTTTACTACCAGTTCTATAGAATCAGTCCGAACCGGGGGCAACCACCACTGCTTCCAAGTAAGTATTCAAGTGTTTCTCTGCTTATTCTAGAATGCAGCCACCGGTCATCTCTTAAAAATCAAATCAACATTACAAGAAGTTGTGTTGCAGGGTCAGTGCAACGGGAAACATGTTCATACTGGTGTAATATAGTATAATGTTATATACATAAAGTATGTATATGGGAAGGTGTGTTCGTTATTACTTATTTGGGTTTAGGGAATTTCTTTTATTCGAGTTTCTTTTGAGTTATTGAGATGTAATCTGTGTTTCAGGGGGGCTGCACCAAGGGAGGTTCATTCAATCTCATTGTATACATGTTGTGCATTGACAATAAAGGTTTGATTTGATTTGATTTGATTTGATTTGATTTGATTTGATTTGCATGACTGAAGAACAGACAAAATGGTCATCAATTATTTCCATTTGCCATTTCGGTGTAATTGCATGTCATCTAGCTCTAATGATCAGTGAGATGCAGGCAAAGAAATTATTAAGATTGTTGTAGTTTTTCTTGCACCCATTAGGGAAAAAAATCAATGTAAATTGCACATAGGACCTTTCTCCATCCGCAACAGCCATGTTGCCATGACTGTCTCTTTCTCTGCTACATCCCCCCCCCCCTTCATAATGCTTCCTTCATCTCTTCTTTTTGAGTAAAGTAAGAATTATATGTCATGGGGAGGGGGGGCATCAGGATTTTAGAGATGCTTAGGTGGGGCATGGCCAAAGAAAGGTTGGGAACCACTGGTCTAACTCCTAAGAACAAATAGCCTGGGCTATCTGTTCCAGACATTCCTTGAGGAATTTTAACAAATCATGCTAAAGCACATATATTACCATTCTTGGCTATCTGAAATAAAAGTTGCCCTTTCAAATATCATGGCCATACCAGCAAAAGTTGGGGGATGTTGAACTTTCATGGAAGTGAGATCTCTGACATTAACAGAGCTACTGTTTACCCACAAACACTTTATCACATCTGTTTTCTTTTACCTTAGGAGTGCGAGACTTTTGAGAAATGTTGCCCTAACGTTTGTGGAACACGAAGTTGTGTTGCAGCCCGGTACATGGATGTCAGAGGGAAGAAAGGACCTGTCGGGATGCCCAAAGAAGCCACGTGTGACCGATTCATGTGCATCCAGCAAGGTTCAGAGTGTGATATCTGGGATGGGCAGCCTGTCTGCAAATGCAAAGACAGGTGTGAAAAGGAGCCAAGTTTTACATGCGCATCTGATGGGCTCACCTATTACAACAAGTGCTACATGGACGCAGAAGCATGTACCAAAGGCATCACCCTCCATGTGGTGACTTGTCGCTATCATCTCACCTGGCCAAACACCAGCCCTGTCCCAGCAGAGACTACAGCTCCACCCACAACTGCTTACTTGGAGACTACCATCACAGACATCCTCGCACCTGTTTTAGTCAACAACCCAGCCCTTCAGTTGGTCTACGTAGGAGAGACGGTAAGCTTTCTTTGTGATGTCACCGGTCGGCCTAAACCAGAAATCACTTGGGAGAAGGAGACTGAGAATAAAGAGAAAGTTATTATGAAGCCTAACCACGTCCAAGGAAATATCGTTGTCACCAATATTGCCCAGCTGGTAATCTATAACACGCAACTACAAGATGCAGGGATTTACACCTGTATAGCCAAAAACCTTGGTGGTGCTTTAAGGGTTGATTTTCCATTGTCGGTTCTCCAAGGAGAAGCTACTTTTCCAGAATCAGTGCAGAATAAAACTCATTTTCCAACCAACGAGTGCCTAAAGCAACCCGACAGTGAGGATTGCGGAGAAGAGCAAACCAGATGGTATTATGACGCAAAGAAAAACAACTGCTTTACTTTCATTTATGGGAACTGTAATAGCAATCTCAATCATTTTGAGACCTACGAGAGCTGTATGTTGACATGCATGAATGGCCCCATCAACATCTGCAATTTGCCGGCCCTGCAAGGTCACTGCAAAGCCTATGAGCCCCGGTGGGCATACAACAGCTTGACAAAACAATGCCAGTCTTTCATTTATGGAGGTTGCGGAGGCAACGAGAATAATTTTGAAAGCCGAGAGGCCTGCGAAGAATCGTGTCCTTTCCCTCTGGATAGGCTCTGTAAAGCTTGCAAGGCTTGCAAACCCCGGCAAAAGCTGGTGACCAGCTTCTGCAAAAGCGATTTTGTGATTCTTGGCCATGTCATGGAGCTGACAGAGGACCAAGATTCTGGCCATGCCCTGGTGATGGTAGAGGAGATTCTGAAGGATGAGAAAATGGGGCTTCAGTTCCTGGGAAGGGAGCCTTTGGAAATCACCTTGTTAAACATGAACTGGAGCTGTCCGTGCCCCAACATTACGGCAACGGAAGGCCAGCTCATCATCATGGGGGATGTCTACAATGGAATGGCTGTTTTACAGCCGGATAGTTTTGTTGGGGCCTCAAGTGTCCGACGCGTTCGAAAACTTCGTGAGGTCATCCACAAGAAAACCTGTGAGCTATTAAAAGAGTTCATAGGACTGCACTAATGCCCTGACAGTAGCTCACTGGCTTTCCAACATTTGTGCATTATATAGTGCTAACAAACAATAGGATTACCCTGAAAACCCCTTGTGTAACTCTCGTTTGCTGATATATATTATGTATTACATATGAAGGAATGAGTGGCATGTAGCAGAGAGACAGTTGTCTTTTTGACAAGTATTTTAAAATAGCAGTAAACAGCAATTAATCTTTAGATTTCAATTTATCTATCGCTCTAGAAATGCCATCTGGTGTTTATCGTTTGCTAACAATGCGATTTTCATCATATAAAAAAATCAATTCCGCAGCATTTGTCCAGAGCTAAAACATGCAAAAATTCTTACCCTAATAACTCTTGTTTGGAATACAGAGATGTTTGTGAAAAGCATCTGAAATGCATCCCACTCTTCAATATATTGCAAAAGAAAACGTAAATTATTGCCTATAATCACGATAATTATAGCTGTTACACCAATCCATTGCGGCATCTGTTCTGAGTGGAAATGATTTCGAGGCAGGGACTTCATCTTTAATAGACATTTTTGTAGCAGATTTATATACGGTGTGCCCATCTAGTCACATTCCAAATGATCTGTTCTATCAGATGATGAACCTGGAAGCAAAACCACACATTATGATCTCACTGAGCTTTCCTACTCAAATAAAACATTGTGCACCACATTAAGTATTAAACATTTTGCACTGCACTGAGGAGCAGGGTGGATTTCTCAGCTCCCCAAACCCCTTCCAACCTTTGCTAAGTTGTGATTTTTATTTTTTTGCTACTTTTAGCTGAGAATTAAGGAAAACTAGGGTGTAAGTAGTCTTAACACGGTTCAAACTAACAAGGCTCTCCCTACAAAAATCCAGAATAAAATAGAAAATAACATTTTGCACCCTCACCCCTGTCATTGAACTTCTCCAGTTCTTTCCTTTCTATTCTGCTGTCTCCAGGTACTGCAACAGTACGTTGAGGCTAGGTGTGACAAGGAATGACTGGGAGGGGAGGGGCCAGGCGAGGCACTGCTTGATGTGAGTGACATTGAGTTGGCCACGCTTACCCAGTCACATGACCATGAAGCCATGCCCACAAAATAAGTCACACCCACAGAACCAGTAGTAAAAAAAATTAGAACCCACCCCTGTGCAACACCCACTAGCCAATCTTGTCTTATTGGCAATTGTTGAGTCTTGGGTATTATGTGGCAGATAGCTGCCTGTTCAAATACTAAAGTCCCAGAGCACTTTAGCTTTTTCATTTTCTATTATTTGATCTATTTTGTGGTCCCATCATTTCATGCTTGCGAGCAAATGGTATTTCTTGCAGATATTCCAATGCAGCATTGTTGCTACTTTGTCATGCTGTTGTTTGTAGTCAGTCTGTGTGATCTTCTTGCAGCAGCTGAATAGTGGTCTACTGTTTCTTCAGCTTCTTTGCACAGCTGGTGTTTGCTTTCTATTTCTATCTTCTCAATTCTGGCTTCTTATTCATTTGTTCTTAAGGCTTGGTCTCGTGCGGCCAGAATTAGCTCTTCTGTCTCTTGTCACATCTTGTTATCAGCTTTGCCTGTTAAGTTTGTTTCTTGTATACTGGTCATGTAATATTTTGCTTTGCCATGTCTCCTTTTCTGTTCTTCATTTGGCCTTTCTTGTAAGTCAATTTGGCCTCTTCAGTATTTAGTGTATCTACTTCACTGTCCTTCAGATATTTTTCCAATGACCATTTTTCTTTTTCAGCTGGTATAGTTGCTACATTCCATGCCCACCTATGCTCCTTGGTAAAGAAAAAAGAGTCTATCAATATTGCTGTGTCAATGAAGGACATGATTCATTATCATTATTTTTCTAATCTTCCTATCCAGGGCTTCTAATTCTGCTTGAGCCCATTTCATTATTCCACCTATATTTCTAATGACTGAAATTGCCCAAGTGTTAATTACCTTGATATTTCCTCCAGTCTCATAATATATTCACTTCTAACTTTCTTGTTAACTTCAGCGTACTTGATGTTGTCAGCTTGAAGGATGCTCAAGTATTTGTTGTGATCTTCTTCATCCAGATTCTTGATGTTATTTCCATAGGCATCTTGATTCTTTCAGTTTTCATTGTTTTTTCCCTTCCATTATCACGTAGGTTTTGCCAGATGTTAACTAATCTTCAATTTCACTTCCTTGCAGTATGTTGTTAAGTGCTTGGCAATGAATAGGTGTAGACCAGTCAGATATTTCAACCAAAAAAATCATGCAGTTCATCTTCATCTGATGCTGACTAATTCTTGGTTTTCCTTGCCCGCCCCCCCCCCCGCCCATTTTTGCTATTATAACAAGTTCTTTCGTTTCAGCTTCTTTTTTTTATCCTTATTCACCTTCTTTAGCCACGATATGTTCTTGTGACATTTCTTTGGGTTGTCCATAGCTGTGCCCAAAGTGCACTTTTTTTTTCTTTGTCAGCTGTTGGCTGGTTCATTGTACTGTCTCCAGTGATGGATTGGTAGAAACATTTCTGATTCAAACTGAAATTGAAGGTAGTGTGCAGTTGAACTTCATATCTGCTTATCTTCTTGGCTATAACTGTTATTTGCTGCATTATTATTTCCATTGCTTCTTTAATCTTTCTTGTTTCTAGGTGATATTTCTTGATCAGGTATTTTTCTGCTCTTCTTATTCTTCAGCCTCTTTTCTTTTATCTATTCTAGCTTGCTTGCTTCTAATCTTAGCATGCTGATCTTATTTTCCAGCCTGGTTTTCCATGTTGGTGGTGCACCCTTTGACATTTTTTCTTCTTTGTTGATTTTTGCATCCAAAGAATTCAGTTATAACTGCAGCCATGTTGTACATTAGCCAATTTGTTTCTTGCAGTGAGCTGGTGTTTGTATTTGATATTATGGAATTGGCATCTTTTAATACTTGTGCTTGTTGTTTCTTTGGAACAAGCTTCAACGCAGGCAACCTTATTCAGTTGTTTTTGTGCTGCTCCAGATGCTCAGTGGTTCTTTATTTCATTTCATCTTTTTTAGTAATAGTGCTTAGTTATTTCTGAGGTCAAGGCAGAGGAGAGGATATCTGGTTTGGGAATGAAAACAATTCAATAGCTATGCTGGCTTCCTCTACTGCTGAATGTTGTTGTTTGATGGTATTAAAAATATCACTGGAGGATGTAAGCTGTTCCAATTAAAGCTGCCTCTTGCAATTCACTAATGGTGATTCCCCCCCCCCCAATAAGTGGTTCTTTAGAAGTCTTGGGACTGCACCCAAAGTACCTATTATTTTTGTTAGAATATTTGTTTTCTTTTGCCACAGTAATTCAACTTATATTTGCAGGTCTTTGCATTTTCTGATTTTCTCCAGTTCTTTCTCTTCTATTCTGCTGTTTCCAGGTATTGCAACATCCACTATTCAAACTTTTTTGGTTTTTCTTCTCGACAATTGTTAGATCTGGGATGTTATTATTTATTCATTGAAGAGTACTTGAATGTTGAGTTTTGAAAACTCAAAACTCAACTCAAAATTGTCAGACACAGCATGTTTATAGGCATTTGCATTTTTTATTTTCCAAATAAACTCACTACTGCGATCAAGACACAGTAGGGTGGATGCAGTGCAGGAAGAGAGAATAGAAAGTCAATTGCAGCTGTTCTTCTCACTGAAGACCAGTCAGGGGAACCTTTTCTTCATTAGTTGTTTTCAGCATCACTGGACTGGCCTGGATTTTAGTCCCATTCCCAGCAAGTTTCTTTTTCTTGTCTTCATGCCACAATTTTGGCAGCCTCATCCTGCTCTTCTGCAATTCCAGAAACACCATCCAGATGCCCAGTGCAGAAGATAGTGAAGTGAGGCACCATTATTGCAGCTGGATTTTCCATACTCAGACCTAAGACTGATGGTTGCTGTGAAGGACAGCTACCAGACAAAGGTTCCAAGTTGCATTAGGATGATCCTTGCGACTGGCAATAGCCCTTTTCTTTTCTTTATTTCAGGGACACAGATTCATTGTTGGAAGCCAAGGCTGAAATTTACCAGGAAAGCACATTTTGGAGTGATGGACAGGAACTTCCCCCAGATTGCAATTGCATGTTAGTAAAGCAGAGGCATAGTCCTAAGCAATTACTCTGATATATCTTCCCAACTGGCTGATCTCTACCTCAGTTCTGATGCTTTTAGTTATTAAAAAGCTTTGCTTTCAGGCTAGCGAGCCAGTAGAATTGACCTATCAACACTGTATGATCTGATGAGGCTCAGGCTTTTAGCATGCACATATGGCTCAGCGCCTTTCCCCTTTGCAAATTACCACAGCACAGACATGCCTAGACGTTGTTTTGATTTTTTTTTTCTGATAGATCCCCCGTGACATTGCCTTGATCTTGTCCTCATCTTCTGAGCAGGCCAGCCTTAAGTCACCCTTGGCCTTTAGCTGTGATGCTGCCAAAAGACTGTTTTCCCTGAAGCCAAGAGTAACCCAGAGACAGTTGCCAAGAGTGAATGCATTTTGCCACCAATTCTATCAGAGGAGAAGTCAGGCAAGATCAACTGGATACTACTTGACCATTTCATGCCAAAGCAGAGGTTTCTCCTCCTCTGGTTTCTGGATGGTCTCCTCTGCCATTCATCTCTTCATCTCCCCCCCTGTCTCCCCCCCCCCCGCTTCCTCTTCCTCCTCCCCCCCCCCCCCCCCCCCCCCCCCCCCGCTTCACTTCCAGCAGTCCCAGTCCTGAGGCCACTGTGAGATGCCTTCCTGGCTCTATCATCTGTGCTCCGGAGAAAAACCAAGCAGTGGGGCAGAGAGTTCCATGCAGAGGGAAAGCACAGCCACAGCTTGGCTAATTTGTTTTCTTTTTTTATTATTATTATTAATAATTTTTTATTATAGTTCAAAAGAACAAAAACAAAAACAAATGTATAATAATTTTTCTATCACGTGACTGTGCTAATTTGTTTTCTTTAGTGTGGCTACTAGCAGAAGTAGTGTTGCTGGGAAAGAGAAGGAAAGGGGATAGGATAACCATGAAAGAGCAAAAGAGATGAGTTGGATGAAAGGGAGGGAGAGAGGGAGGGAGGGAGGAGGGAGAAAGGAAGGAAGGAAGGAAGGAAGGAAGGAAGGAAGGAAGGAAGGAAGGAAGGAAGGTACCCAACAGCATCAAGCAAGCAGGAAGGGCTGGCTTCCAAACAGGTTTACCATTTTCCCCCTGCCCTTTAAAAGAAACTAAGTGAAGTTGAGTGAGGTTTCCTCATCTTAGTCATGAGTGAGTGAGACCAAGCTCCTTGAATGAGGAAAGAACAGAGGCTTTCCGCAAAGATGAAATTGTGCAACCGTGACATAATGCTCAAAAGGGGCTCTTTCTTCTCTTTTCTGGGGAGTATTTTTGTGCTTTTGTTAGAGTGTATGTGAGAGAGAGGGAGAGGGAGAGGAGAGAGAGAGGAAGAGGGAGGGGGAGGGGGAGGGAGGGACGGAGAGGGAGACAGAGAGAGAAAGGGAGAGGGAGAGAGAGGGAGGGAGAGAGGGAGGGAGGGAGGGAGGCAGGGGGAGAGAGAGAGAGAAAGAGAGAGAGAGAGAGAGAGAGAGAGAGAGAGAGGGAGAGGGAGAGGGAGAGAGAGAGAGGGAACTCAGTTCCCTTCATAGTCATGGACCCATAGCACATTTGAGTAAAGCTTTCAGGAGCTTTCAGAGAAAGAGCTGCCCTGTTCCAGCTTCACCTCAGCAAAAATTCCCTGGTAGCATCTGGAGTAAAATCAGAGGATAATTCAATCATTTTGCTTCACAAAACTTGCAGGGACATCATTGGCACGGTGAGGATGGACATTGATTCAGCACATTTCATGTTAGCTTTCTGCCTACTCAAAGAGGAATGGAAAACCCAGCTTTCTTTTGGAGAATGGTTCTACACAGAGTCTATGACAGAGATCTCTAAACTTGGCAACTTTAAGCCTTGTGGACTTCAATTCCCAGAATTCACCAACCAGCCATGCTGGCTGAACTTCACAAGTCTTAAAGTTGTCAAGTTTGGAGACCCTGGTTTATGGCATCCTTTCCACAAGTGAGGGGAGTTAAGCCAGTGGAGAAGTTTTGAAGGTTGGCTTTGAAAGTCCTGGCTGAAAGAAAACTCAACTGCCAGGGAGGAAAGGGGGAAAAAGAAGAAAGGGGTTCCCTTAGAAAGAATGAAGGGAATGGTCAGGAAAGAAAAAAGCCAGAAACTTTTGTAATTTTTGAGATTCATTGTACATATCATACTTTAATTTGCTCAATAAATGAAGTAAAGCAGTTGGTTTTTTATTTTATTTTTTATTATTTTTTTTGCAAATGACTTTTTCAAAGGCTTATATTCTTTAGATAATTTATAATGAGGCAACTGGAAATGGTGATTTTAGGAACACAAACTTGACTAAAGCAACATTTACATGCAAAATGTATATTTTGATATATGTTATGCAGTACATCCAATCTAGCTAATGAACCTCTGCAGTTGCTTTACATTTTAAGAGAACTGCCCTATATCTTATGAATATAAATCAATAGCATAATAAGCAAATTTTACATTTTTCATTTTGGGAACATTCATGATGGAATGAAAGATATCAAATATATGACTGATTTATCACCTGCCAACTCAGGGTCAAACTGCTTGCTTTGCATGGGGAACGTAAGTTGTTATGTAAGGATGGATAGTTTGACTAAGGATCATCCTCACCATCCCCTAAGCCAGGGGTGGGCATCTATGGCCCTTTTACGACCTATGGACTTCAACTCCCAGAATTCCTGAGCCAGCAGGGCTCAGCATGGTTGGTTCAGGAATTCTGGGAGTTGAAGTCCACAAGGCATAAAGGGACCATAGTTGCTCACCTCTGCCTTAACCAAAGCATAAAAAACACCTTATAATTATCCTACATTATCCTATATCCTCATGATGTTGTCTTTATCTTATCTCCAGCCCCAACCGAGGCAGCTTAAAGTTATTTTTATCAGGTCCACTTATAAAGGAGTGTTTTAATCTCCCATCACAATTTGTTCTATGATTATGGTCTGAGATGTTTCTCTGACAATGTGGTTAATGACTCTGGAACTGCCCAACTCCTACAGGCTTTTGGTTGCTGGGGTTACACGCTTCCTCCCTTCCAGATGCAAGGGCCACCTCCCCCACCCACCACCCATCCCATGGTCAATTTTGTCTGGGCTGCTGGAGAGAGCAGATACCTAGATTCCACAAAGGTACCTGCTTGTTTTAATACCTGACTGGTACTTCCAAAAGCACTTGTCAGATTTGGCACACTAGATCCATGTTCAGAAGGAGTCTGACTGATAGATCCTAGACACAAGCACTCTGCGTCTTGACAATTTGATAGGAAGCAAAATATGTTGTTCTGAGCACTATCTATACTCACCCCATTCAATTCAAGGATTGCTAGCTTGGCTTCATGTTTCATGGAAGGGGATCAGGGGTGGGTTCTACTTACCTTTACTACTGGTTCGCAACGGAAGCTACTCCGCATGCACAGATTGTCCATTATGACATCCGTGCGGGTGGGCGGAGCCTCCCACCGCTTTTACTACCAGTTCACAAGAACCGGACAGAACCAGGAGCAGCCCACCACTGAAGGGGATCCACCGATTTCTTTCCTTAACCTATTCCCAATTAAAACGGTAAAATTAGCACCTTTTACCTTGTTCATGTCATAGTACCCAGCTTAGCAATCAGGGAAGCAAATTTTGCACCAGCTTAATTTTCTACTGCTTAGGAACCGGAAGATTCACGCATCCACCTGGTTATGTGTCCACAGTGGGAAAATAACTCCATGGTTAAGCAATTGCTTTAATTATGTGAGTTTTAAAAAAATGTAACCAGGGATTTTTTTTCCCCCCTTGAAATCATCCTAAAACAATCAGGCATAAGAATAAATTGGTTTGGTCCACTCCAGTGGCAGTAATAGCAATGCTTTATTACAATCATTGACCAGATCAAAAAATAAAATGAAAAAAAAATTGAGATAGCAAATAAAAATCATAGTCAAATCTAATTATAACATCGGAAAGATCAAAGTACGGCCTAGTTTATAAATAGTTAAATAAAACTTGACCACATTAAGAAACATCAAGTAACGGTGATCAGATAACAGCAACTGTAAATAAAATGGCGCCAGGTGATCAGAAAAACTGACTAGACAGGGTGAAATATGATGGCAGAACTGGTAGAAAAGAACTTGTTCCTCCTCAGTTAAAATCAGTCATATGGTTGCTGCTGCTGCTGCTGCTGCTGCTGCTACCAAGAATACTATAATAACTAAAAAGAAAACTCTCCCCTTAAAAGTTTTTAATGTAGGTCTCCACCCCTAGGTTTAAGAAATAAAAAATAAAATGTTGCCAATCCTTCTTTCCCCATTTTCTTGCTTGAGATGATAATCTCCCTTGGAAACAATTCAAGGGCCCGAGTTGGGTGCAGAGCCAACCCAGATTAACACCCCCACCCCCACCAAGAGCACCTGCCACTCCTCCCCGAGCCGGCACCCCAGGCACTGGCTGGGAATTACAGGACATTTTCTGGAGGGATTTTGCTACTTCTTCATGCTTTCCAGTAAAAAGGTTCCCTCTGTTGCTGGAAGACGGCAATAGCACAGAGGTGCGGAGAGAGACCTCCAGTTTTCTCGCCCTTCCATTCATCCGAGGAGGAGGAGGAACCATAATGGACCCCTTCAGATGGCAAAGCCCTCCTTCGCCCAGCTGCTTGACTTGCTGAGCTGTTCACCCCAGCTGAGCATAAGGGTCCTTTGTCTTACCATTCAGGGGACGAGGAAGGTTTCAACGTAAACTTGCTGATTTAAAGATGGGGGCACGGAAGGGGGAGAAGTCCTCAGAAAAGGAGACGCCTTCGTCTCCTTTCAGCTCTCCATAATTTGAAATTCTCCTGATTGTGTTTTGGTTCTTTTGGGGTGGAGAGGGGGGAGTCTCGCAGGGCCTCAGGGCAGAATATAATAAGGGGTGTTTTTCTTTCTACTGTGTATTGTTTTCCTTCATTTCTACCCAGTCCTGGCAACATTTAATAGCACAAAAGTAAAGTTAATTGGAGAAGGCAAACATCAGTGGGAATGAAACAATGGTCAGACAGCAGCAAACAAAGCTCAGCACTATTTTTGTGGGAAAGCCAGGATGCAAAAGCAGAATAACAGAATAAAAAGAGTTAGATGGGACCTTGGAGGTCTTCTAGTCCAACCCCCTGCTCAGGCAAGGAAACCCCATGTCATTTTAGGCAAATGGTTGTCCAAAGCCTAGGAAATCTATCTGACAGATTTCATAGGAACCAAACATTTCCAAATGGATAAACCTTGGTTTAACCTTACAGAGGAAATGGCACACCAATTGTTTTGAGAAGGCTGTGTTTTCACTGCTCTCCAGACACGGACATGGCTGTACTTGTGCACTTCACTGGGCAGGGAATGCCAAGGTGATTACTGTAAAAAAAAAAAAAAACTCAGCCAAGTTGGTCAATCAGATAACTGCCTTTGTCGTCATGCTCCATACTGACCAATCGCTTAATGTGGCAGATCTTCTTGAATAGAGACATAGATCCTGCAATGATACAAAGCAGTGGTAAAATCCAATTTTTTTTACTACCAGTTCTGTGGGCGTGGCTTGGTAGGAATGGTGTGGCTTGGCGGGCATGGCAGGGGAAGGATACTGTAAAATCTCTATTCCCACCCCACTCCAGGGGAAGGATACTGCAAAATCCCCATTCCCACCCCACTCTGGGGCCAGGCAGAGGTGGTATTTGCCGGTTCTCTGCTCAAAATTTCCACTAGTGGTTCTCCAGAACCTGTCAGAACCTGTTGGATTTCACCCGATACAAAGGCATACAACTTCTCTTTCCCAGAAAGGGAAAAGAAGAGCCTCATAGTATCTTGAAGCTCATTGAAAATGGCTGCTGAGTTCTTACTTGGAAAGCCATCTTACTTCTCACCTTCCTTCCTCAGGGAGGAAAGCTTATTTTAAAGGTAACCTAATGCCAGTCCTTTAAAAGTTGTTCAGGTGTTTTGAAGGTAGGACATTGCTCTTTGGATGGGAGAGGAGGAAAGCAAAAGAAATGGCAAACAACAATGCTTGGCAAGCGGTCATCTAGACTTCATACTAGGCAGAGAAGAGATGACACAGCAAGAACATGGTATGAAGTCATGTGGAGCAATAGGGGAACAGTGAGAAATGTCCCTAGGGAAAAAAAGATCAGTGAAAGACCCCTCTCAGAAGAAGGGGGGAAATGCTGTGAAATATCCAGGCATTTGAAAAATAGTGGGAAAAGTCAGACTTTCTGTGTAGGAAAAGACTCCACAAGGACACAGAAATACTGGACAATAGACAACACAGTGGACTCTTTCTTATGGCCATTTTATTGTACATTCCTCTGGTCTTGTGCTCCCTCATTGCTAAGCCCTGCTCTGCCTCAGCAACAAGGCCAGTGACTGGGGCTGGCCTTACAGCTTTAATGCAAGATTTCAGGGCAGCATTTGGGAGATTCCTCTGGCTTCATCTCCCCTGCCACCCAGGATTGCCAGTCATTGCTCCATTTGAAATGTGATGGAGCAAGTTTGGTGACAAATCAATGAGGACCTAGAATGAAGATTGTGCTAATAATGGGTCACTTGGGCTTGCTCTGAACATGCATCTGTTAATCCAGGGGTTCCCCCCAACCCTGAGCCGTGGCCCACTACTGGGCCAGAGCCATTCAGAAAGCAGTGGATGAGAACATGTGCATGCGCACGCATCTCCATTTGCACGAGCAATGGGTGAGTGCATGTATGTGTGCTCCATTTGCGCCAACACACATCTGCCAGCCACTTTCACAGACCATCCCTTCCCCCACCCCCCACCGGTCTGCAAAGCTTGAAAGGTTGGAAACTCTGTGTTAATCCACTGGAAGACCAACAAGCTGACAAGTTGATGGGACAGTGTAGAGGGCTGAGCAGACTTCTCTGCTACTGCTCGCCAGGGAATGTGTGCATCTGTTCTTTGAGGACAGTTGCATAGGGGTTGCCTTTATATTTCTGCAAATGTGACATTCTGGCTAGGAGGCACTCAAACAGCAAAGCACAAAACAGGAAGTCAGCTCAATCAATCAGCACTTGCAGTTAGGATTTGGGAGATGTACATGTTGGCCCTGTCTGCAGCCATCTGCAACCTATGCTTACCCATCAACTCCTCTGCAGCATAAATAAGTTGGTGACGCCTATGGGCAGTTGCAGACAGCTCTAAATCAATCCTAACTGTATATGATGCAGTGGGTGCACTCAGTCTCATAGTACATCAAGAGAGCTCTCTCCTCCCTCTTTATCCTTTGTTCCTTCTCCACCTGACCTCAGCCTGGTGTTTCTGGTAATATACCAAAAGCAAAATAGCCCTGGAAAAGAAGAGCCAAATGGGATGGGTTAGAAGTAGGACCATGTGGCCAATAGGAGCTGGGCAGGAGCCAGCTCCTGGAGCACCAGCATTATCACAGAGGTAGTATAGATGTCTATATGGTGCTATTTGTGCCAGGAAAAGAGGAAACTACTACTTCTTAACAGTGTTTTCATTCTAAACTATGCACGACACAAAGGCATCATGCAAACATTTAATATTGCTTTCCAAAACAATATTATAGTTGTTAATTAACCATCCTATTCTTCAAATTACCTTATCGGGTCCAGAGGAAACAGAGGAAGCAAAAGGAAAAAAAATCCTGAAAAATCAAATAAATTTTCTAAATAGGAAGCTAGTGTTACTACCAAGTCATGCTTTAAAGAGAGAGAGAAAAAACCCTATTTTAGCTTATGAGTATAAATAGCTGTGAGATAAGAAAATAGTCAGGCTAATACATCCCTTGGCTGCCTTAAAAAATGCCCATTAGAATCATTCACAGCTCTGACTAAATTTACCTCCACGTGTGGTTTTTGCTGTGTTCCTGATTCAACTCAACACCTGCATGACCTCATGATCTTCTTTGTCTTCAGCAGTTAAGCCTGCTAACCTCTGCAGTTCACCAGGAAACACACAAATACACAGTTCTCCAGAAGAAGGACTCGAGGCTGTGGGAGCCAGTCATTTCCCCATTGATGGAAAATCTGGTCTCCTCATACCTGCCAGCTCTCTCTTCCCTCTCCAGAGAGGAAGCTGTGAGGTCACATTGTGTGCTTTTGAAACCGCACAGAGGATGACTTGCTGATTCTGCAGCAACTCCCATTGCAAACATGAAGTTTTCACAAGACCCAAACGAAGCAGTTCACGGCTGGGGATGAGACTATTTGGATGATGATGGCAATTGTTATCATCATCATCATCTTTCTAAGCTCAAGTGAAGAATGCCCTGCCCCCCTCTTTGGCTTTTTCTGGGTTTTGAGATAGGTGGTAAGGAGGACCAAGAGGTCAGCTTGAATGCAATGCTGAGAATCCGAGGTGGCGCAGTGGTTAGGGTGCAGTACTGCAGCTACTTC